TCCCACACTACTGTTTTCACTTGTATACTTGCCCTTCCCCCCTTCCTTCTCTGCTCAAACATAGCTGTGTATATTTCCAACACCAGTCTGCTTTTACTGGTTCTCATGGTCTCTTCGCTTGCAGATTTCTTATATTTTTTCTTCTACCCTGAAGATGGAGGCGATACGTTCCTCCGAAACGTCAGTTAACACCACATATACACGGTGCCAAATCCCAAGACTGCTTTCTTCATACAAATTTTGTTTGAAGCTGGTAAAAGACTTTATTTTTCAAAGAGATTTTCTTATTTAACAGCTGGCTTACTACTGTATTATCTTTCTTTGCTTTTAGGTGTAGATACACATGTCCACAGGATTTCAAACAGACTGGGTTGGGTCCCAAAGGCTACCAAGACACCTGAAGCAACGCGTGTTGCCCTGGAGTCATGGCTGCCAACAGAGTTGTGGGATGAGGTGAATAATTTGATGGTTGGGTTTGGTCAGCAGGTATGCAAGCCTGTGAATCCTCTTTGCAATACCTGCCTCAACAAGACCCTGTGTCCTTTTGGTCGTTCACAGTGCAGGGGCAAACAATAAAGTCTCCAAGACCTATCAACTTGAAAACCCAATTTTACTGATCAATAAATAATTACAGCATCATGTTGTAGAGCTAGTCATATGTGTCACTTCCTTTTCTTTGCTTTTTTCCTACCCTTTCTGGTCTTTGACTGAGTTTTTATATGTTTCTTCTTTTTTCTAAGTGATTCCTTCTTGTTCTTTTGTCTTTCTAACTTGTTCTTCAGCTTAAAAGCCTTACTTTTCTGCACCTGTTTTGTAGCCTGTTTCTTTATTATTTTTTTGACATCCTTTTTTGTTTTTAACTCCATTCCTGGTAATTCATCTTTCTGTGGACCTTCCTCTTCATCACTGTGTTCACTCTTCTCATTTTCATACTGCACCTACAACAAATATTTTTAAGCTGTTTTCTGAGAACTGCCTTGCATTATGTTATAGTTTGTACTTTATGTGAGGTTCATGTTGCAACTAATAATCAAGTATTAATTCATGTGTATACTCTTTCAAACATTTTTAATATAGTTACAATTTACGGTGACAGAAATTCTTATATTTTTTGAATGCAATCTTTTTCAGTAGCCATGCTATATGTTATAGATTTCTTTCGCTATATAGGATTTTCAGAAATTCATGTGTATGGAGTCCACCAAGTGATTCTGTGATTAATGGTGAAATTAAAATGTCCTTTGATCAAATTCCAACCAATGCACAATTTTCATGGAAAACACTAATGTGGAACATGTAACATGCTGACATACTGAATTTAACTTTAATCACACTTTACATGAAATTATTAGTCATTCAAAATGTTATAAAGACATCTTGGATGTTCATCAATAAATCATATGGAGGAGTTCCTATGTGTGATATCCATACTATGTGCCACATCTTATTCAGCTTTAATCCTGTTTTCCATGAAAATTGTACAGAGGTTGAAATTTCATAACAAAGACATTTTCATCTCAGTAATCATCAGCGAATTTCATAGTGGAGGTGGCAGTGCAAATAACCACACACTATTGTCACATCACATTTAACTGTAATTGTGTTTTCTGCGATAACTGATTAAAATTTTATGAAGAGATATTTTTGTCTCAGGAATCATAAAGGAATTGCAAAATAGAGTCTGTAGGCACCAAGTTCCAGGCATAAACCTAATGTTTTAAGACAAAGATTATGAATATTAAGTCTGAAGGAAGTGGCCTCCCTAGTCTAGGGGTAACGTTCCCACCTGATGACTCAAGGTATGTGGGTTCAAACCCGGTGGAGGTCGTGCAATTTTTAAGGGCGGAAAAATTCAGGGAACAAGTCCTTCCGGGAGGGACTTCAAGCCGTGGGTCCCGTGTCATAGCTTTATGGCACGTAAAAGAACCTCATGTCTCAAGGAGACCACTGAGCCAAATTTGTAAGGACATTTCCCGCCCAACAATAGTCTCTAACGCCTCTGGTAGATGGGGGAAGCATCTAGATACCGCTGAGCCAGTAGAGGCTGAACTCGCTGGCTGAGTCGGGACTGATGGCACGCACCAATACCAGTGGGGTATAGAGACTGGTAGAATATCTCAGGGGGACGTACAATAGACCATTGGTCGCAGTGCATGGGGAAACCCACCCCCTCCAATAATAATAATAATAATAAGTCTGAAAAAAGACATCTTCACCTCTTTTGTCTGGGATTTGAGATTCCCTCTTCAAATAGCTCATTAGCTCATCACAGCCAAGATCTGAATAGGGAATAGGCTTAGGCAATACATTACTTATACCCGCTGTGTAAAATTCTCATACCATGACCCCATGACAATTATATATGTAGCTCCATAGGTACACATATACATAACTAGAAAGATGTAAATTGTTATGCAGTTTTATGTCGTCTTCATATCCTTTATTATGCTATTTACTAATAATAAATCACTCCCATTATTGTACTCTTCATGTCTGTATGTATAACTATTATACGTATATCACTTGATATGAATGCTGTATTGGGGGAGTGCCGAGGTCAAGGATGATTGAGGTATGCCTCCACTACCCCATGTCTTCATGGCATGGTGCCTAACTAATAAAGCACAGGGACAACTTTACTTTTTTACCCACGAGACTGCAACATTCAATATCTGTGTCATATTAACAGTCAAATAAAATTATAAGATGTGAGATTTTAGGTTCTCACAGTGGTATCAAGATCACAGATGAATTCTCTTATTCTGAACATGGCAACAACAGATTCCTCTGAAACATCAATAACCACCTACCAAACTAGACGGTGGCATATCCCAGAAGATAACTGTGATACTCAAAGCCATTTCATAGCTTGTGCAGTTAGTCATGAGCTCCCCACTCTAACGGCCTGGCTCTGATCATGTGGGATTTGTGGTGGACAAAGTGGAACTGGTGCCTGAGTACTTCAGTTAATTATCCTGTCATCCAATGCTAGGTACTCTTGATACTGAGTGTCTTTATGTAATCAACGTAGAAAGAAACTCACGTGTCAAACATATTGTCATGTATCCTGGTAACATGACAAGTAGTTAATGGGTTCCAGATTAGATGAATCGATTTATAGGATATTCACCAGGTGGAACTACAATTAGTTGTAACACAATCTTACTGTAACTACAACAATTTGTAACTACGAACAATGACAACACTCTAAAAGGTTACTGTTAACTACACCACATAAAATAAAGACTTCACTTCTGACTTCTGTTTGTCTTCTGTCTCCTGGATTCTCATCTCTAGTAATCTTCTTGAGTTAGCTCTTGGCTTACCGAAAACTTGCTTTCCGTTGCTGTGAGAACAATATTTACCTAGCCATAACAGAAACCTGTTTCTGTATGCATTGCCTAAGAGTCAATATGAGTATGTATGCAATGCATTGCTTCTTCAGTTGTATTCGTTGCTGTGGAAACATGTTCAGCTGTCCAGCAGCGGCACCTTCCATGTTACCACAGGAATTTGCTCAGCTAAGCCCCACCTTGCAGATGGGCAGATTGCAGCTTTCTGGCATTATGTTACAATATATTTAATTGCAGGTGAAATGATCATGCAAACCTGTTTCTGATGTAATTAGAATGATGATCAAACACTGGAAGTTCCAGATGGTTCTCTTCCTCTAGCATTCCCACGTTAATTTATATATGGCTCCTTTAATTTCATAATTTACTGAACAATGCAATGGTTACTTCAAAGTTTATCCTTGTGGTAAAGTTGTCCCTATGCTTCATTACCTTAATTAAGCACCACAACATGAAGATGTGGAGGTACAATGCACCACACGTCCCTAACCTTGGTATCAGATGAAAGTGGTCAGATTCACACCCCAGCTCCTTTACCCATGAGGAAAGAGACCCCATTACTCAGTGGACAGGAGCCTGGGCAGGCCCCAAAGTTGGTCTGAACATGGAAAATTTAGAAGGAATCGAACCATTTCCCTGGTTGTCCAGCCTGTAGCCAGTCACTGTACTCACTGAGCCATCCTGGCTCCTAGCAGTTGATTCTATGATCACGGAGTCAGATGAGAACATTATGATGAATGGTAATCATGAATAGTGTGAACATTAGATGTCATTGTTGGCTTTAAGTAATATTTGCTTATTAGTTTTCCAGTCAAGATTAAAGCTGGGGACCTTTAGATTATGATATAGGAGTTACCACATTCAGTCATGATAATACCCAAAATATTTAAAAAAAAAACACCTATATTACCAAGATCAGTACCTTACAATATACACAGTAAGTTGAAATAGCAAACAGAAATATCACCTTTACAGTCTTACCTTATTGATTCCTATCCAATTATTCTTCTCTGCCAAATCTGAGGATGAAAGCTCTGTTATGCTTACAGAATGATTTTCAAGCTCATAATTTTCTGAGATAAGATTCTCCAATTCTGGAACTGGCCGATGTGACACTACAAGCTTTTTAAATGACTCCCGAGCCTGCAATAACAAATATAACTGTATTAATTCTTATGAGGAAAAGATCACTGTTCTTGTTAGTGTTGTACATACTTCCTGTTTTAATCGTTTCCTTTCTTCCTTTAACTGTTGCTTTAGTTGTTCCTGAGCTATCTTCTTTCTCTGTAATTTTCTTTTATGGAAGCCAGTCAGGTACTCCCTGCACAATAAGAGTATTTCCATGAATCATATAATTAAAAAAAAAGTAGTTTATAGGTTATGTATATCAACTACGTCTATATGTTTATGCATGTGTGGCGCTACCAGTTATTTTATTGTCTTACTCAGTGAGTGTCTCACAAATCGCTTATACGTGAAATAAATGGAATGGTTTAAGGTATACGAAAATCAGCTTTCTTTATCTCACCCCTCAACATAACCATTCGTGAATTTTTAGAAATCAATATTTTATCCTACTTGGCGGGGGGGATTTAAGTAATAGCTTGCAAACCTACCTTCTAGCTTTTTCATCGAACAATAACTGAAGCTTTGTCTTTCTATTTACTCGCTTACGGGGATGAAATGCCCTCGGATTACAATGACTTTCATCCACAGCTTCCATTTCTCGTACGGTTGTACAGCTCTCAGCGAGTTTAAACGAAGCGATGCCAACAAATGTCGTCATATAATGTGCATTTCATATAGTCTGGAGTTATAGGATATTTATTCGAAATTCATAATCCAGTTTAGTTATAAATTACCATATGAATAGAAATTACGAATTCAAATTTTGAAAAATATTTGCACCCTATCAGTGTCGCCAAATGTAGACGTACATATAGTTATGCATGCTTGTTTACGAAAAGATGTATTAACGTAACTTGCGATAAGCGCAATCACGTAAGAATTAAAAGAGTGTGGTATGCATAGGGCAATTTCTAGGCTGGGGACTCCTCCTTTAAACTTATTACGCGACCTAAGATGCTAAATCACGGGGAACTTTTTTTCACACTATTTGCACTGTGCAATTAGCACTGCAAATAATCAAATTATTAGTCCCTTCCTTCCCGTATCGCCGAATGAGTTTTCGTCCCTCTGGGGAGGGGCTCAGAAATTCTGCGAGGGAAATTTCGCGAAGTGGGTGTGCTAAAATCTGGCAACCCTGCAACAATTGCATAAATTCGGACTCATCAGCAACATGGCTGTCAGTATAAATGTGAGAGTTGTAGGATGCCTTTCTCTCCGAAAATTACGTTGGCTGATGTGTATTTATGCCTTTATTTTGCGAAAGTTTTTGCCATATGTGAACCGAAAACCTGGATAATGTCATTTTCAACGAGTTAACATTCTTATATTCCGAAGTAAGAAATTTTTAATAGTGTTTTGGTAAATTAATTAATTATGAGTATTTTAAAACTTGTTAATTTTCCGATAAAACATGGACTGGGTGTAATTTTGCGTGCATGTGGCGTGAAATGAGTTAGAAACGTATATGAAAGTTTCATGTCAACTGTGTAGAGATGTGTCTTCAGTAATAATGAAGCAACGAGAGATATAGTAATACTATTATAAAGCACAGAGAATGTACGAGTGACTGAAGCCTACTGACTAATATAACCTACTTCACGGAGAGCAGTTAAAATTTTCCATATGTTGGAAGTCTGTTCATATTACATTCGATTTTGAGGATTTACGTTTTGTAAAGATTGTGTGAATAAGTAAATTTCTGCCCAGTGTGAATAAATAAAACAATTTCCTTTTGAGTGCTTCATTAATATGTTATATTATTCATAGAATAATTTCAGATGGGACCAATCCATTTTGGCAGGAGTATTTACTGAGGCTTAAGTCGTGCAGAATTTAAGCTTATTAGGGTTGACTTCATTCTGAAGGATGGTATCAAGGCAAGTACACTACTCTTGAACTCATATGCCAGAACACATATAATTTACGTTCTCAGTGTTAGAAAAGTTGCTGATATTAATCACATTGGCATTTTTGTTGAATAAGTTTTGTATGCCTGTACATCAGTTACAAAGTTTCATATATGCTTTTGTTTCTGTGTTTAAGGATAGACTGTTTTACCTTTGAAACTTTAGGGGGAGCAGTTTAAAATATTAGTGATGTTTTGTCTTCATTTTATTTTATCTCTGTACACCATGCTCTGTAAATGTACTCAGCCTTTTGTGGTGGAAGATCCAAAACAAATAATATTGATCATTTTGATATATTTCCTGAAAAGCGCTAGTTGTAATAATGTGTGTCTGAACTATAACATATCATTATTTTGAGAGAAATTTTTCATTGCCAAATATGTAAGGTACTGAATGTGTTGAAGATAGTCAAACTCCATCAAGCTGAGCCCTTCTTGAGGGCGGCCAGTTGCCCAGCCACTGAAGAATTTCCCAACATATTATGGAATGCGAATATTTGTTATTATATTCATAAGAGCCTTTCACTGGTCTCTATCCTGAGCCAGATCAATCCAGCCCATGCCACCCCATTTGAAGACAGCGTGGCAGACCATAAGCTGGTTTCCTTGGTATTTCTGTGGATTTCCATGCAGGAAACATTCAAAATAAATCTTCTCAGTTACATACCAGAGATTATTAACACCTTTAGGTTCCACATTATATCTTGGATTTGGTGTGGTAGACTTCAAAACAGTCACCAGTACAGAGTGCCACGTCACAATTCTTACCCCTCATTTTACCTCTTTCTTTCATTCCACATGCAGAACATGTGTGGCAGTACAGTCTCAGAGACTGAACTGTCCAGTGGTTACTGGAGTATCCTTTTAGATAAGTAACTAATTCATCCAAAATCAGTGTCCTGCCCAAGGGTCAACATTGGCAAGGAGACTCCCAGCTTCTTCAGTCAGGTTTTGAATGAGGGAAGATTGGAATAAGAAGCTGTTCAGAATTTTCAAGTCAAACCAGTAAATAATAATTTCTTAACCTGCTTCCATGTCTAAAGTTGTATTGAGTTCCCCAGTCTGTCTCCTTTGTCTACATATCCTGTATGTTACAGTGCTCTATGATTCTCAGCTCTGTAGCATTTCTTTATTTGTCACAGAAGGTACGTTTCGTTGGTGCAGTGTGCATGTCTGTCAGTGCATGTACGTTGTGTTTGTCAAATAAGTCAGGCAATGAAAAGTTGTCAGTGTATAGCTCATGTCTTTGTCCTTCCACCTTTCATATCATTTGTTTTGCAGTTGCATGTATTGGTGTCATGCTTGGTTGTATGTGTGGTGACCTTCCATAAGCAGACATCCATATCTTATGTTTAGCCTTGTACACAATTTGTAAATTTTTATTCCAAAACACTCTTTTTTCCTGAGCATAGTGAACCCTTGTGAAAACGGATTAATTGGAGGGGGGAGGCGGTCTGGATTGAGTGATAATCCAGAGTAGTGAAGCAAAAGATAGCCCTAAAAGGCAAACTTATAACATAAATAAAGGGAAAATTTAGTGATATAAGTAGTGCTAATGAAAATAAATAAGAAAATATCACTGTAGAGCCTCTATTTAAAAACTCTAAAAAAGACAGTACATTTATTCATTGATAGTGGCCTCAGAAATTGTACTTGTTTTTGAACATAATAATGCAGGTTTAAAGAAACTGTAAAGTTTTGTCTGAACAGACAAGTGACTCATCTGCCTTCCTAAATTTCATGTGTCTTAAAGCATGTGCTGAACTGTGAACAGCATTTTTCATATTTTGATCCAGATTGTCTGACATCCTGATTAACTGTAACTTGATTAATGATGGTTTACCATATATATTGTTTGAACATTATCCTCTCCTTCATTCTCAGCCATGTGTTCAGAAGGGATTTAATATCTTCAGTAATGTGTTATTCAGCAAGTTGAAAATATGTCTTACTTTGCATAGTCTTTCATAATTTAGGCCATATCGTCTTAGAGTGTTGTCATCGGAGAAGTCTAAGAATGTGGAGGAATCTGTTATGTCTCACCTTTTTGCCCTGAAAGGTTGAAAACTGTTCAGCAGTTGACCAGTAGTAGTTGTCTTTCAGCTTGTGATGTGTGCCGTGATCCATTGGAATAATAATGACTAGAAACGGCAACATTTAAGATTCAGTGATATCAGGTACTGGAGAAGGTTCATCATCGAGTTGATGTATTGTAGGTAGTACCAGTTGGTCTCCTCTATCAACAGAGTGATAACTGCTGTAAAGTTCAGCATTAAAACATTGTATAGAGTGAAGTCTCTATGCTGTTTTGTCTTTTGCCAGTGACATAACCAGTGAATTGATGGATATTGCTGTTTGTCCCACCTGTAAGTTAGGGGTGTAAGTGCGGTTGAAATTGGCTCATCAAGATAAGTGTTTTCTGTGTTATCATGGTCTCTTGTATTTTTCTCATTGGTCGACATTGCTTGTACACTGCTTGTGCTGTCATGTTATCTTTCTGCCATTTTGTTGGAGTTTTCATTAGGCGCCTCTGATGCACTGTTAAGTATTTTTTTATTGCTAATGGGGTGGGACTAAGTCCCTTGTACTGCAGCCACTTCTGGCCTATTGTACCAGCTCCAGATGATAGGTGAGGGTGATTGTGGAGCAATTAGTGGAATGCAGATTGACAAGGGAAACTGAAGAACTTGGAGAAAACCTGCCCCAATGCCACTTTGTCCACTACAAATCTCACTTGACCAGACCCAGGTCACCGTGGTGGGAAGCCAGTGACTAACCGCTTGAGCTATGGCACATCTGTCAAGTATTAGTTCACTATCATCTTTATCAGACCATTATGCTTTGAAATTCATAAATGAAGATGTCATGTCCTTATTGGGCATTACGGTAGGAGAGTGCAAGAGCGAAATCAAGGAATTTGAAATCCACATTAGTGAATCTGAAGCAAAATGAGCTGCTGCTTTTTGTTTCCTGTCTCAGCAAACCCTGGTTGTCTCCTAAGTGAAGAATATTTTATATGTTCACTGTTTTTGCTCTCAGAGCAGGAGAACCATTATATAGAAAGGATGCAGTTACGTTACTGGTATCAGTGGCTGGATGACATTTGCAAAGCATGTGGGAACAAATAGGGCCCATAATTCCTAACCACGCAATGTACAGTTGGTGTAAAAAGTTTATGGCACTAATCAGAACTAAATATAAAGTCAAATCAAATTGAATGTTAGAAAATAATGAGGCCTATTCTGAATGAATTGTAAACAAAGTTCATGTATATCTGGTAGGCTCGACCGTCTGTTTGTGCTGCTGGAGACGGGTTCATCGGGTGTGACGCGCCGTGCTGCAGCTCGTCAGCTGGGAGAGGTGCAACGTCTTCACCCACATGAATTACATCACCTGTTGTCTCGGATTACCACCTATTTGCACAGCCCAGCCTGGGAGACACGCATCGCTGCTGGCCAAGCTGTGGAGGCTGTTATCCAGAATGTACCTCAGTGGGATCCTCCAGCCTCTAGCATCAAAAGGGGTGACCAGTCAAAGCTTACTCATGATCTGCTACTAAATGTTATGGTTGACTTGATAGCATTCCTGCTTCATTAGAATTTTTAAGTCTTCTGGAATGTGATGCCATGATTTGGTATACCTGTTCACCAAACTACATGACATTATATCACAGATGACCGTAATATTAATACTTGCTGTTGTAAGAACCTCAGATATCATACACTCTCTTATTGTAAATTGTATTTAATGATGCAGTGAAGTTATAGTGCATTGTTACATGGTAAGAAATTGGAATAGATGCAGGTAGGGACTGTCTGCTTAGATATGGAGCGCTTTTCTGTAACAAAGCTATTTGTGTTATCTTGGGATGTTGTAACTATTGTTCTTAGTATTGGTACATGTAGGAACAGCCTCGGTTTGCACTGTTGTAATTTCCTGTGTGATGCATTGAACATTCTCTGGCACTCGATTTAGAGTGTTTGATCCTTGTAGTCTGCTAGATAGGTAGCAATTTTTCAGAGGAATGTGCTGATTCTGTCTGCTACCAATGTGAGAACCTAAGAATTTAAGTTATCATCATTGGTATTAGATATATAACTTCACAGTAAGTTTGTCAAAGCTTTCATCACAATTTAGTTAGCCTAAAATCCAAATTTTGTTAATTTTTTCTGTGTTTTGAAAGATGTGGTTTACATCTTGAGTATGGACATTACTTCACAGCTGAGTGGCATACTATTAAAGCAGCAGTCAAACAAATAAATGAATCAGCAGAAGCTATTTCTGACTTTTTTTTGCAGAGTTTTGCCCGCAGTCTGTGCTGCTTTCACAGACAGGACGCTTGAATTTCCACAAGTTTGACATGAACAAGGTCTTGGCCAGCGACACTCACCTCATGGCTTCCGAGGGGAAGGAGTATGATGTAGAGGAGTATCAAGGTAGTATGTCATTCCGGACCTAGATGCATTATTTATATTTTGTCACATTGGTGGGATAGTGGGAGCTGGGATACTGCAGTGGGTATAGTGACTAACTACAGGGTCCGGCAAATCCACCTCCCATATTTGGGAGGGCGCTGTGTGAGTTGTGGTGGGGATACGGCGGCGGAGGGGGTATTGATCGATAGCGGTATAAGTGCCATTTGCAGTAGTCGCAATGGCGTGGCACAGTGAGCATTGTGCTTTTGTTGTGGAAGAGTATATTCATAATGGTGAATCAGTGATTACTACTCAGCGAGCATTTCACATTCGGTTCGAACTTGGCCGACATGATCCTGTTCCGGATAGAAAAACTATTCATGTTTGGGTATCAAACTTTAGAGCAACAGGTTCTGCACTGAAAAAGAAATCGCCTGGCCGACCTCGGACCGTAACAATGCCAGAAAATGTGGCTCGTGTGAGAGCGTCCATCCAGCAATCTCCAAAGCGTTCAGCACTTAAACATGCAGCTGCCCTGGGATTGTCTGGTAGGAGTGTAAGAAGAATCCTGCACAGAAATCTACACATGCACCCATACAAAATGATGGTTACCCAAGAATTAAGTGAGAGACATTTTGAAACTCGCAAAGCTGCGTGTGAGGACATTCTTCAGAACATTCCCTCTGGCGCTGTTTTGATTTCATCTGATGAGGCCCACTTCCACTTGTCAGGTACTGTAAATAAACAAAATTTCCGCTACTGGTCAGCAGAAAACCCTCAGGAACTTCACCAACGACCACTTCACAGCCCTCGTGTGACAGTTTGGTGCGCCGTTGCTGAATTTGGTGTGTGGGGTCCTTATTTTTTCGAGGAAAATGGGCTAACGGTAACGGTTACTTCGAATCGCTACTGTCACATGATCGAGACCTTCCTCCGACCTAAGTTAAACCAGTTTGTTGGGGACCATGAAGAGGGACAAGCCTGGTTCCAACAAGACGGAGCCACAGCTCACACTTCGCGGCGTTCTTTAGCAATTCTGAGAGAGTTGTTTCCTGGACGTCTTCTCTCTTTGCGAGGAGACATCGCCTGGCCCCCAAGGTCACCCGATTTATCACATTGTGATTTTTTTCTTTGGGGACACTTAAAGGCGCAAGTGTACAAACATCGCCCCACAACCCTGCAAGCACTTAAGGAGGCAATCACCCAGGCAGTGGCTGCCATTCCACCGGAAATGACACGAAGAACTATGGACAACTTCTGGGAAAAGCTTCGTCAATGTGTGAACAATGGAGGACGCCATTTACCGGAAATAATTTTTAAAACCAAGTAATGTAAAATAGCATCGTATTTGTTGTTCACAAATAAAAGTATTTTTTCTGTATCTTTCTTTGTTTGTTTGTAACTGCCTTTTGAAATACGGGAGGTCGATTTGCCGGACCCTGTACAAGCTGGACAGCCAGTGGGCCAGAGTTTGAGTCTTTGTAGGTGCAAAATTTTTCTCCTCTTGTCATCCAAACCAGTTTGGGGGCCTACCCGGCACTTTCCCCCAGGGCATGAAACTGACGGCTCATCTGCAACTAGTGCCGAAGTCGAGAACGCATGATCTATGGATCCACTTCCCCATCTGTCTTTATGGCATAGTGCTTAATTAGTTAAGCACAGGGACAACTTTACCTTTTGGGCTAGTGTTTATAGTTGGTAAAACTATGGTTGGGAGGAATATGGTAGCATGAAATGTATTAAGGTAACGAGTGAAGTTGTCCCTATGTTTAATTAAGCATGCCATGAAGACATATGGGGAGTGGAGGTATATCTCCACCATTCTTGACCTTGGAAGTGAATGGAGGTGATTGGTGAGCTTCATGCACGGGCCATATTACCTCCAGGGAAAGAGCCCCCAATATCCATGGAACAGAAGGTTGGGTGGGTCCCAGAACCTCTTTGGGTGCTTTGGAGAAGAGAAAAATCTCTTATCCCTGCTGGGAATCAATCCCTGACCAACCGGCCTGTAGTCTGTTGTTATATCAACTGTGCTACATTTTAAAACTCTGAAACCTACAAACCTCTTCTTAAGAGTACAGGTGAACTGGTATGTGGAAGTTGCTGTTTTCTGGGATGCGATGCCATATAGTTTGATACTAGTTTTTTTTTTTTTGAGGGGGGGCAAGGGATTACTTCTTCCATCTTCAGGGTGGGAGAAGTACACTTCTGTTCTTTTAGTCACGTGTAGAAGACAGTCTTCATAGTCATGACATTGAGAATCTCATATATCCTGAACAGATAAGTATGTACCAAATGATAAGAACAAATGCTACTTTGTTGAATTGTGTCAAAAGTTCATTGTTACTTATTCTGTGGAGCAGAACCTTCCTTGAGAATATGATAGTATCTTATCTACTCAAGAAGTTCTCTGGTTTTCATGGAATTTAGAGGTTGATTACTGAGTTCGCAAGGGTCTGCTGCTTGGCTCTATACTGTTCCAGATTTATGCTGCTTACATCTTCATGTCTGTTTAACATGTAGTATTATCCCCCATCTGTGCCTCACTATCCCAAGTGGTGCAACAGACCCCATGGAGCAGGTGAGAGAGAGCTGGAGCAAGATCCATTTGCAAAGCAATTAGGAATAAGGAGCATCGAATAAAAATTTTGATCCTTTGAAGGGTCGCATGTTCTTTCTCTGCTCTGCTTTTGTCTGTGGCCCTTCCCCTCCCTATGTCTATATCATTTCTGTCTGTGCTTTGCATGCTGTTGTATCCTGCAGATGGAGACAGCTTGTTCCTGTCAAACATGGCCATGAACTACGTGACTGCATGACATTACACTGAGAACACAGTAATCCTCACAGCCACTGCTGTGAGGACCACAAATTTCATGTTTTTAAAAATTGATGTGGAATTTCTTATCAGGTATTGATGTACGGGAGAAGCTGGCCAGACAGAGACAACTTCTGAATGCCCGTCTTGGTTTGGATGTTGCTCTTAGAATTGGCATGGATATGTCTGAAATATTTTCTGCTGAGGACCTCACCATTTCTCTTGAAACAGATGTGTCTCGAAATGATCCATTAAGGGTAAGTGTGTGCAAGGATCTGTCAGCACTAGTTGGTTGCGTGGTTACAGCATTTTAAAATGTGATAGTCACACATGGATGGGAGAGAAGGAGAGGCTAAGCAGCACTCAGTACAGGAGAACTCATAATCATTCATATTCGTATGATTTTTGCAGCTATTCCATATGCTGTAGATGTTATTAATATTCGGGACTGCCAAATTCCTTTCAGAATAAAGACTGGGTTTTGTGTTACCCTTTACGTCTTACATTTATTGACAACTTAGTACTTTGTGGTGTTGATAGGAAATGACAGTAGTTTTTGGGGTAAAACAGTGTAGAGCATTTGGGAGTAAATATAAGAAAAACAGAAACTGTCGTGAGAAGTCTTGTATAGTTTTGTTCTTTTCTTCCCTCCATAGTAATTGCTGTTCCTTTTGCACCTGTCCATGCCTTTGTCTTTCAGCTTACAGTTCTTGATTAACCTTTTGGTGTATAAATGTAATATAACTGTGAGACAAAAGCTCTGAAACAACACAATTTAATTTTACCATAGCAACACGTTGCATGGGCATAAGTTCTTAGTAAATCATGAACAAGTGAGCAGTTTTGTTTTCAGTGTATCTCATCTATTCTGTGAGTACTGATAATATTTTATTGTGGATATTTAATGTATCCCCCTCGTTGGTGTCTCCACCTTATTGTGGTGAAGGTGTTTGAGTATGCCAAGGACCCTGAGAGCTATACCAGCGGTAGCGTAGCTACTGGCAGGGCCTCCCTTGCTGGACAGGTCAAAGGGTATGCATCAGACGAAGAGAGACACCAAAAACCAAAAACTGATGCCGGAAGCAGCATCATCAGCAGCGACTTGAAGCACAGAGCTAATGATGCTCAAGATGGTTCAGGTTTGTATAGCAACAGGCGTGACCAGAGTGGTTTGAACGGCTGTTGTATTGCAATGTGGAAAGCAAATGGAAAAACTACCATATTATCACTTTTCCTGAATAGTCTCTTTCCAAAAACAGAGATACCATGTATGCGAGATGTTTTCTCTTGAGACAAAACAAAACAGAGGGACGGATAGAAGTGACCAGAAGATAAGGAAGATGTAAGAAGATGCTGGATGACCTGGGGGACAGAGGAGGATATTTTTATTTGAAGGAGAAAGCTTGAGATTGCATTAAGTGGAGGAACTGTTTTGGAAGAGACTGTGGACCTGTTGTCTGACAGATTACTGATGAATGAATTTAATGTATAGTATACTGTGTAAAGGAAAGTGTTTATGATTGACTATTTGTGCATGCTCTTCGTTAGAAACCACATTAAATGATGCTCTTAATATATTGTCGCATATCGGGCGTATATCGCGACAAATAACTTCACGATGTATTTGATGTAGCGAATTTTATTTCACATTCGCACTTACAATCACGCAAATTACAGATTTACGATTACTGCTATCTGCAGTATCACAATTAGTACACTCCAAATGCCACAATACAACTGACTGGTTGCTGGCTAACTCGGAACTAACTCGGAGGTAGCTCGAGGACTCACTCGGCGGTAGCTCCAGGACTGACTGTGAATAGCCTTCGCTGCTCCTTATGTAGCCTCGATCGGACAATTGTCGTCTCATACCGTGTTGCTAGCCACGCTGTCCGGAGTTGTTGACTGCTGCCTAGCAACCGCGATATCCCTCGGTGACGTCACCGCTGTTGATTCGCTTTGCATAGCTTCAAGGTTGCGGGGACTCGGCTAACGTCGGCTCCGCTCGGCTCACTCGGCTCCGTTTGTGACGTCACCGCGCGTTGCATAGCTACCAGGATGCGGGGTGATAACTCGCCTATTACGCGAGCGCTACGTTATCGCTACGTGCAGCTGGGGAGGTAGGGGTCAACATGTCACAATATCATTCAGTAACATGTAGGACTGGAAAGTAGTACAGGAGAGAGCAGGGGAAGTTAAAGTAATGTGACATGATGCCCTAAAGCCAGATCATTGGAGATGCTCATTGCTAGGCATCTGCTTGGTAAGCACATTCCCGCAGAAGCGAACATACACAACAATAGAAGGACCCATTTCTAAGCAATGGATCAGTAAACACAACAAAGAGGTGCTGTTGGTGTTAGTGTTTTCTGTTTGGTCCATTCCAAGTGGTTATAAAGAAGAGTTCATGTTGAGAAATAGCCAGTCGAGATCCAGAGTTTCAAATGAGTTGCTGTCAGGAGAATTGAGGGAGTCTCTGGAGTTGGCAGTGGGCAGAATATTTGAGAAGAAACGGCAAGAAAGGAATTTAGTTGTGCAAAGAAGATTTCACAATGTGCTGCAATGACAGACTGTTATAAATCCATTACCAGAATATAACTAGTGAAGACAGAGAAGACTTGACATGTCCTAGTGATTTGTAAAGTGTGTAGATCAGTAATAGTGATGTATTACCTGTAGTTATGAGATGTTAATAAATCCAATCCAAACCCTGTGTTATAGTCACAACCCTAAATATGTGATATTATGAAGACTTCCAGCTGAATTGTCAATGGGTGTTACACTAGTAACATTTAAAATGAGGACAGAATTGTCAGAGAGGAACAGTTCCACACTTATGACACGCTGGTTATTATGTTTAATGTGGTAATATGTTTTCATTTTACAATTTCCTATACAGAAAACTGTAGGGGAACTGGTACAACAAGAGATGGCACAGATTGGTATGCTCAGTTCTCGTGAGATAAATAGGGCTCGGCGTAAAGCTCGCCAGGCAATGTCCAAACAGAGGTCGCGAGAAGCAGGAGAGGATGGAGGTACATCATCGGTGGGTGAAGAACCTGAGAACAAGAAGCCAAAACTGGATGATGGGTTGGTTGAAGTCAAACCAGAGGATTTGTATGCAGCAGGGTCACTAACCAATGGGAGTGTTCCAGATAGCACTGGTTCATGGGGAGAGGTAAGGATGCTAAGAACATGGTTCTACTATTCACATCAGAAGGAAGAGATAGGTCTCTTAAGTGAATGACTAAGAACTGAAGTGTGTCATAGAAATTTCTTTTTTTCATGTTACAGTGAAGTCCAGTTTTAGTATGCCCCCATTTAGTGAATAAATTTTGTGGTCCCAACTAAAGTCCAATATAAATAATGTATTATTTTGAATTTTAGGATCTCACCCTAATGACTATGATGAGCACTGTCTTCTGGGATATAACTCCATGAAAAGGCAAAAAAGGTATAGTTGTCTCTGTGCTTAATTAATTAAGCACTACACCATGGAGACTGGTGGGAGGTGGAGGTATAGCTCCATGATTCTTGACCTTTGTGCTGTGTGGGAGTGAGTGATCAAGTTTCATGCTCCAGCCACATTACCCCCTGGGAAAGAGGCCCCAGTACGCATTGGGCAGGAGTCTGGGTGGCCCCATTGCCAGGCTGGATGCTTTCGGAAGAGAATTTGTTTTTGCTGGGGCTCATACTCAACCTACCAAGCCCATAGCCTGTCGCTTTGTTGACTGTAGTCCTGTGAAAGTCAACAAACATCTTATAGGAATATCTTTCAGCCAAGTGATGAACCAGCATGAAACCAGCAGCAAGCTTTATACTGATATCTTGAATCTGGCAATGGAGATGATATGTTTGTGTGAATTGTTGATTGAATTTAACTTGACTACACAGCATCATATCCCAGAAGATAGAAGTTCCAATGTATTGTTTTTCTGTATTTAGTGGATTGAAATTTATTTAGTAACCATCAGTACAAGAATTTTTTTACCTTTCAGAACATGTACCACAGTTTAGTATGATTGTAGTTGAAATAATAATTGATATTTATGTTTACTCTCTAATAGAAATTAATACGTATTAAAGATAAGCAGCGGCATGCACACAGGGAGCCTGCACAGAATAATACCTGAACGGTGCTGAAAGCAAGAAGTAGCCGCTGCAGCACTGTAGACTTTGAGCAGGTATCCCTGTGAATTTTGAATTTTAAACTTTTAAAAATTTTTAAATTTAAATTGAAGATTTTAAAAATACCAAAATTCAAAAATCAAATTGACATATGTAAATTAACAAAGATTTTATACATATCTGACAAATATCAGCAAGGGGATTCTGATATATCGGACCTATTAACAACGGAGAAATGAACAGTTAAGAAAGCTGGTGTTTTTAAATTTTAAACTACGTGCAGTGTAACAGCTATGTGAGAGAAATGCACCTGATGATGGCCATTTATGGCCGAAACATGTAGCGTAGAAGAAAAGAAGACAAACTACAATAAATTGTTGCACTTAGGATGGAGTTTGTGTCATACAATGAGATTGATGTTTCATAGAACAGTTAACCCAGAATGTTGCTGCCTATGAGAGAGGAGTTGACTTCCAAGGACTTACTGCCTACGGTTTTTGGAACTCAGCATACAACATGCTGGTGTCTTGCGGCATCATCTCCCTCCCCTCTTAGAAAACTGAAGCTCCAGGCATCACAGTACAAATATTTGTCTTCCCATTGGTCCAACAAGCAGTGCACATTTTCATTGGAGAACAAATAAGCAATCTGGGGTTACAAAGTTTAAACAACTGTCTCCAAATTTCCTAATCTCTAAATGATGCATTGAACACCCAGGGCGTTGTTACATGCAGGAATATGGGTGTAAAACTGCACTTGAGTTATTGGTAATGCTTCTTGTCATGTCTACAGTTTCATAATTGTCAAGTTTTCACAAGGGGAGTGAGAAGGAACCCCTAAATCTTTACAGCTCACTACATTTCTGTCATTTCAGTATTTGAACCAATGGCCCACTATTTCTTGGCTTTGTGGGAAAAACAAAGCCGTGCCATCCTGGTCAGAAGGCTTCTGCATTCCTGTTCCTATCAGCTAATTTTCAAAACTGGCTACATCCATATTTCTCTAAATTTTTGGGATATTTCACCAAGTTTCGAAGTTACAAACATGATCTTCAGAAATAGTGAGAAAAATTTGCTGCTATATGCCGCTATAATTTTATGAAGCAGGTTGGTATAGAAGTAATGCTGTAGACATAGTTGGAAAAAACTAAGTTTGAATCATGGCTGGAACACTGGATTTCCCCACTGAGGGTTTTCGTGATTTTCCTCAGTACCACCACTTAACCACAAGGATAGTGCAGTATATATCCTATTTAATATGCCTTTATTTAAGTTTCTCACTTAGCATTTAGTTTAAGTGATCCAAAGTCAGTAAACTTAAAGTTAAATTAACCTCCCTTTTAGATTTTCCTCAGTTTAGTGTTCAAATTTACTGCTCTCCAAAGAAACCTTAAATGAGAGTTTCGCTGTGCCTCGAATAAGTCTTGACTGCTTCCTCCTAAATCCTTTTCATTTCATAATTTAGTAGTCACACTATGTGATGTAATATAATCTGGGATATTGACATTATCATACTCACACAACTGTAATTTTAGCTTCCTTACATTGGTATGGTTTGAAACACTGAATTTGCAAGCATTGTGTGTCTGCAGGCGGTGGACTGGCCATTTGAGAATTTCTGTGATCAACTGTGTCAAGATCTGTTCAGTCCAAGTTGGGAAGTGCGCCATGGGGCTGCCACAGCTCTGAGAGAAGTTGTCCGAGTCCATGGAAGAGGTGCAGGGAAAGCTGCTGACCAAACCAAGACTGAGGTACCCTGCTCTCTGTCCGTCTCCCCCTCTCTCTTTCTATAGTGAGGACAGGTATTCCTTGTGATTTTTGCATTATTTGTGATCCAGGAGACTGTATAATTGCTGAAGTCCAATGTAATTTTGCCTTCTCCCCTTGCATTCCTGCTCTGTAACCACGTGATACTCTGCTATCCTTTCTCTCTGCTTCGCTCGGTTGGCCAGCAAGCAGTAGGCATTAAAAGGAACACTGTTAATTTATTTGAAGTTAAAGTGACCTAATTAAAATTAAATCACATTTTTTTGGACACTCATTTAGTGAGGAGTACCTCTACAGTGAAGTTATTTGTGTATTATGCTGCAAAAGGTAATTTATGGTGAAATTAGGATCTTCAGAGGTCGCTACAAACATGTTATTATTGCTGCTGGTTATGACCCTGTATAGTGTGGTACATGGGTACCAGCATTTTAGTGGAACATATTGTCTCCATGGTAGAAGTGCATTTTAAAAATTTAGGCCATGGCCTCTTCCATATCTTTTCTGATTTGCTGTCCTATCATCCCATCATTTGAAGTAATTGAAAGTGTCGTTAAATTAACCAAAGTAGTTAACCTAAGTGGTAATGTTTTTAACTTGTGTTTTTTAAGTGCCCAGTTTGAATCTTGGCCAGAACACTGACTATCCTTTCTGAGGCTCCTGGTTTTCCCCAGTCCCTTCATGCAGATACCATGATGAGGTTAACTTGTCCATGTGCTTAAAGCTCTCTGCCATGAAGACTTGTGGAGGAGTGGAGATATGGCTCCACTATTCTTGACCTCAGGCCTAGATAGATGTGAATGGTCAGCTTTATGCCTCTGCTGCTTTACCGTCGGGGACATTGCCCCCAATTCCCATTGGATAGGAAGCTGGGTGGGCCTCAGAGCTGGTCTGGACATTGTGGGGAAAAGAAAAATCTTACCCCTGCCAGGATTGTCCCTTGAATTAGTCCATAACTGCTTCCTTCCATATCCATTTCAATACGCTATTCAATTTGACATAGTCTGAGAAACTGACAGTGCCATGAAATGAACTGAAAATAGGTAAGTGGACCTATGGACCTAGAATGAATGAATTCTCCAAAATGTTAAATCAGAAATTTGTGTCATAGATGAGGATTTTTATTTGTGAACCTGGATAGCTCAGTTGTTACAGCGATTGGCTGTGGGCTGGACAGGCAGGGAATTTGTGTTCCAATTCTCAGCAGGGACAAGACATCTTTTCTTCTCTGCAATGGCAAGACTGTCATCAGGGTCCACCCAGCCCTCTGTTCAGTGGGTACTAGGGCTCTTTCCCCAGAGGTAAAGAGGCAGGGGCCTGAAGCTTGCTACCCACTTCCACCTAGTTCTGAGTTTAAGAATGAATGGAGCTGTGCCTCCATTCCACCATATATCCTCATGGTGTGATGCTTAATTAGGCACACGAATGACTTCCCCCCCCCTTGGCACTACAGCCCCAGTGGGCCTAGGCCTACCTCCATGAACTTCTCCGTTCACTTCGGTTTTTCTAGATCTTACACATTCGGTAGGACTCCTTGGGCGTGTGTTCAGCTCGTCGCAAGGCCTCTACCTGTACACAAACACAGAAAAACGCACACACACAAACTAAACATCCATGGCCTGAGTGGGATTTGAACCCATGATCCTGGCCTCCGAGTGAGCGAAGACAGCGCACGCCTTAGACCGCTCGGCTACCGTGACCAGCATGAATGACTTTACCTTGTTGAATTGTAACTCGCATTCTAAATCCAAATCTGTGCATTATATATTTCAAAAAAAGTCAAAGCCAGGGAGTTATTTCGCAGTGGAGAGCAGCTGATGAAGTACTTGAAAAGTATGCTCTGATTGCAGATGCAAGATTGTCATCAACAGTGGGTGGAAGACACATCATTGAGACTCCTCTGTGTGCTAGCATTAGATCGATTTGGTGATTTTGTGTCTGACCAAGTCGTTGCGCCAGTCAGGGAAACTTGTGCTCAAGCTTTAGGTAAGTGCAACACACTAGTCTGAAACTACCTGTATAAATTGTTAACGCAAGGAAGCCATCAAAATAGTCGACACCCTCATGTCATCAGCTGCGAGGATAGATACAGACTGGGTGAAGTGTGGTCTCATCTCTCTTCCTCCAACTTTCTGTTTGGTACTGGGGTGGCAAAGTCCACTGCTTTCTCTTTTTAAACAGGCCACTGGTATGTAGTAATTGGCAAGTAATGCTGTGGGAACTCTTTGTAGTATGTTATATAGATCTTCAGATCTTGTTCAGTAGCAATTTTGTTACTTTAGAATGTGGTCCCCAGTACTGTAGTACTATATTGCCTGTACAATATAGGGTTCGTTACATTTGAGAACTTTTTCCCCACCAATTTTTGTTATCTGGCCAGAATGTATTGCTCTAATGTCTTATTAATTATTTTCTGCGAACCATTCAGTGACTTGGGTATTCTGTTCAAGTAATCTTCTTCTAGTGACTCGGTATTTTTAAACAGAACTGTTTTTTTGCAGGATGTGTACTGAATCTGATGAGTCGTGAGGGCGTGAATGGGGTGATGAAAATTCTGCTGCAGCTTCTGACCCACAGTGAGTGGGAGGCGAGACATGGTGGCTTGCTGGGGCTCAAGTACCTACTCGCTGTTAGGGAGGTGAGGGTCACACTACTGTTGCTTGGGACTAGAGAAATTCCTGTTGAAAATTCAGTGGGAAAACTGAAACTGTTCCAAACTTTAAATGTTTTTAATAGGAAGTGCCAGAAAAGCTGTACAGACAATAAAACTAATTTTGTTTACTAAGAGAGTGAGGAATTTGCCACAATAGATTTATTGTTTTTAACTAAAAATTTAAGAATCTTGTAATATAATGCTGCTGTTATCAAGGTTCGTTGTATATAATCCTGTGCAATTTTCATCTATCTGTTATCCTCACAGATTTTTTCTCCTAGGTCTGAAAACCATCTCCTTGCTTTTACAAAAAGATTCCCTGGTAGTGTTATGTGTGCATTCCTTCTCTCTCTTATCCTAGCCAGTCCATCATAATCTCGTGTATTTTACTATCCTAAGAATATTGGGTGAATCATATAAATTGTTTATTTACACATTTCATAAAATATTTTTGTAAAGTATGTCTCATCAGAAATGTAATTTACTAACTCCTTGGCTCCATTTTTATCAAAAATCTTGATCTCTTTTACAAGGGATGTTCATTCTTCTCTATTATTTTAGTTTTTCCTGCATTTTTTCAGTTTCAAATCCTCCTAAGTTATTCTCTGAATCTTCCAGTCATATGAGTGTGGACCTTCTAACATTTTTCTGTCTTAACAAGTGTAATTTAATCGTGATATTATGGTGATTTGTTCAGGTCTTTCATGATACCAGCCTTTTTATCTGTCTTGGTATACATTTGTTACTTGTTTGTAGGACCTTGTAAGTGAGATATTACCAGTGGCATTCAGCCACATCTTGGAGGGTCTTGGAGACCCAGTGGATGATGTGGGAGCAGTAGCAGCATCAGCACTGATCCCTGTTGCAGCAAAGGTCGTGTCAGATCTGCCAGATCAGGTGGAGGTGATAGTACACAGATTGTGGGACTTGCTGTTGGAACAAGATGAATTGGCTGCAGCTTGTAACAGCTTTATGGGGCTTCTGGCAGCTCTGCTGAGCTCACCTCTCATACATGAACATATGAGGTGCATAAAACTGATCACTAACTTAATAACCATTACACAAATAATACATGCAAGGGGAAGTCAATAATTATCCACAATGCAGTTGTATTTGTGTTTCTATTGACAGCATTCTACTCTTTTGGCTGCGTGTGTTGTATTGTTGGATGTATCCAACGATACAACGCACGCAGCCACAAAAGTAGAACACATCATAAGACGTAATAAACACACAACATTAGAAACATAAGAAGAATGACCCCCATATGGATGATTAATAATACACACGAATTTAAAATATAATGTATGAGATAATAGGTTTTAACAGTTTTAAATACATAAACTTTATTATCATATAAGGACGTATACAAATTTAATATTATTTGTAAATGGACCTATAGAGGCAAGCAGTGAAATAGTTTCATGGATCGATACACCTGAAGATGGCAGCATACTGCCGAAACATGTAGTGTAGAAGTGGTAAATGGGATTGTATGCACTTGAAGACTGTTAATACATACACATTATGAATATGAATCAGTGCAGCAGGACGCTGAAATACAACACTTTTTTAAACACATACATTGCACGGAAGGATTCTGTCTATCTCTGGACTAGTTCTCTCGATTGTGCCCAACTGAGTAGGTTCCACCAGAAGACAGAGACAGAATCCAGTCTTCAAAATGCTGTATGTTTCAAATGAAAACAGGACGATGGATAATGTCCAGAAACACAGTAATTGTAGTACATATTTGGTCATTATCAGGTACATCAAGTACTTTTCATATTTATTGCACTTGCTAAATGTGCATAGCTTTAAATAAATTAAATGTTTTTCTGTAAGATTAAGACAGTTGAAGTTGATCTGCCTTGTAAACTATATGTGTATCATATTGAATAAGGCTGATTGAAATATCAGCAGAAAAACAATCTTTGTCAAAAATACCTGTCATCGGTAACATGATAAGTTCTGGAAAGGCTGCAAGACTTGTAGCAAGTGGTCTCATTGTGTATCTGTTTACAGACCACAGCCTCTCACTGAGGTGGTTCCACGCTTATGGCCATTCCTGTGCCATAGTACATCATCTGTTCGTCGTGCTACATTGCAGACACTAAGCACTCTGACTGCACAGCACAATGTTGGTGATGGTATAAGTTGGACAGCAGATGTGCTGCAGGATGCACTGAGGCACATCTTCCAGCGAGTAATTGTAGAGTCAGTTCCTGAAATTCAGGATTTGGCTGAACAGGTAACGAAGTGACCCTTCCCTGCATGATTTGTTGATTTCCAAAACTGTTAGTACAGTATAAAGAATACTGAAGTCTGTTTGAGCATGCAACACCATATAATGACATTTGTCAATATGTCATTGTTAGGAAGTTAACAAGAGCTTATTTTCAACACAGTTGATACCAAAATCAATATACTAAAGATCTTGTTAAACATAGGATATTCTTCAATAACGTTACCTACTGAAGGAGCCGGGATAGCTCATTCTGTATAGCATCGGGCTATGGGTTGGATGGCAGAGGGGTCAGAGTTCAAGTCCTGATAGAATCAAGCATTTTCTCTTATCCACGTTGTCCAGACCAGCTCTGGGGCCCACCCAGCCTCCTATACAATGGCTACTGGGGGATCTTTCCCTGGTGGCATGAAGCTGACCACTCACCTGCAGCTAGTGCCAGGGTCGAGAAAATGTTGATCTTTTCGTCCACTCCTCCATGGCATAGTGTTTAATTAGCTAAACACATGGACAACTTTACCCCCCCCCCTTTTGAACCTTAAATTTGCCTATTCAAGGTGTGATGTACCCTTGTAGACAGATAATACATGATGCCCCACCCCTGAAGACTATGATGTTGATGGTCACTGCTGTGAGAATCTCATGTGTCATGTATTTGCAAAGTGCTTCTCAGTGTTTAAATCTATCTGCTCTGAATTATGGTATGTCATACCTTCTCTAAGCAACCTTACAGAAGACATATTTTGTGTCAGTTATGTTTTTATTCCCCACTGATTAACATTATGAATACCAGAAAATAATATCTTGTAAATTTCTAATGATGACCTGACAGCCTATATCACTGACTGATCAGTGAGGCACCTCATTTGTGTGGTAGATGGAATATACGATGGGGTACCCAAAAGAAACCGAACTAATTTTTTTGTGGGCAGAGCTTTTGTAGTACCGCGTTTTGCCGCTATGAGCGCATAGAGCTAACATTCCTGAGTCGATAAGCCGACTACCGTTGCTTCAGAAGGTAAGGACTAGTTTCGGCAGAGTTTATAGTGACAACTGTTTTGTGTTATCGTCATTTTTGCAATGGCTGATTTTCGTGAACAGCGTGCGGCGGTGAAATTCTGCTTTTTGCTCAGGAAAAGTGGAACAGAAACTCTTGAAATGTTAAAAACGGCGTACAAGGACGATGCTATGGGGGAAAACTCAAGTGTTTGAATGGTTTTCCCGTTTCAAAAATTGTGAAATGTCAATTGATGACAAACCTCGTTCTGGTCGTCCTTCCACAGCCCGAACACATAAAAATGTTGAAAAAATTCGTGAAATCATCAAGGAAGATCGACGACAGACCATTGAAGAAATTGTGGAGCTGTCGGGAGTGACTTGGAGCTCAGCGGCCAGATTTGTGGCAGTCGGGTGACTGGTTTTTCCATCATGACAATGCCCCTGCTCACACAGCCCTGTCTGTACAACAATTCGTGACCAAAAATGGTATGACCCCTGTTCCTCACCCTCCCTACTCACCTGACCTTGCCCCGTGCGACTTTTTTGTTTCCTTGAATGAAAAGAGACATGAAANTAAAATTTGAATAAATAAGTTTAAAAAAAAATAAGTTCAGTTTCTTTTGGGTACCCCCTCGTATGTCTGGAGTTGCGGGGGAAGGAGTTGCAGTGTAATATGTAATGTGATGAATGCTATGCTGGTATTTTGAATGTGTGGGTACATTGTAAAGTTTGAAGTTCACAGTAGGGGCTATGAAATTTATTCTCTTCTGGAATAAATGGAGTTTGGTAGATATGTAACATTATGGAGGAACTTCCTGCCTCCATCTTCAGGATAGAAGAACCAATTAAAACCTTGGTACACATTTACAAGGCTACATGGCATAATGTCCTAGGCACAGTAATCTTCAAGATATATTTTTGTTTTCCTACACTCTTATCTAAGGAGAGCAAAAAATATGCTGAAATTATAACTGAATTTATCATTCTCAGAGGCTTTTCACATATCAGAGTAGCCATTGATTTTTTAACATGTAAATATTAAAACCAGGTCATTGCTCTGGCTGATGTGCAATGTTTTATTATGAAGTTTGACACTTTTCTTTTTCTTACCTCCAGTCATAAAAGATTTTTGCTTCACCTGCTAAGGGAAATTTTTTGCATATTTGCTGCATTCACAATGAAAAGTTGCAAAAATGTGCCTGTTACCTTTACTGTGCTTGTCTATTGCAGTTTTGTTGCTTCTCCCCATAGTTTTAAACTTAAAATTGCAGTATTTTAGAAAAATGATGAGAGAATAATATGCAACAAAAGGGTTATGATCCATATTCATGTAATGACATTTAGACATGTGCTGGCCCTCTTCAGGTGTCTTAGAAAAGTAGGCAGTTTCTTGAGTGGCTAAGTGGCTGTTGGCCTGTCAAGGCAGACTGCTACATGGAGTTACTCATATACACGTGTATACATGTCTGTGTTCTGTTACAGGTGTGGGGGAACCTGCTGCGCAACAGTCGGCTGGAGGACCTGCTTGTGGCTGCATGCCCTTATGTCAGTACCTGGTTGTGCCTGACAATGCAACCAGCAAAGCTTGCAATCGACCCTTCCCAGCTTATTCAAAGCAAGTCTATCAGAGTAAGCATGAACTGGGATCAGCGCAAATATAGTTTGTCTAAAATATCTTCAAGGGTGCAGCATACAATGAGCAGGTGACCTTATACAAGGAAATTCTCGTGTCTCCAGTATCAAAATTTTGTTTCACATCGTACACTGAAAACAGAATCTGGTAATGATCTGATGATGATATAATGATGTACACCTGTCTCTGATCATGGTGCACCCTCAAAGGTATTTTAGACACAGTTTAGTAGTTGCAATTCCTTTGGTTTACTTTATCCTTGAATATTTTCTTGCCCCTTTTGCTCTTCAGAACATTTTATCTTCCTTCTTTTCAGTGTCTAGCCCCACTGTTTTATGGGCTCTTGTCTTCCATTGGCCTTCTACCAGCACCATTTCTTTCCTCTCTTTCCCAATATCTTTACTTCCATTTTCCCATGTGGGCTTGCTTTTCTACCCTGAAGATGGAGGCAGCAGGTTCATGCAAAATGTTGGTGACTGTTCACCAGACTACATGGCATGATACTGAGTTTCCTGAGACAGGATCACATCTGACATATATTTGTGAGGTGTCTGGTTCAAATCTCTGCCCAGATAGTGACCTTCATGACTAGGTTCTTTATGGTTTTCCTTATTTTATGTAGAGTAATGCTGGGCTAGTGCCATAAATAGGCAATAACCAATCCTTTCCAATTCAGGATTCATTAATCCTCCACTGAGTGCTGTGTAGCCAGAAATATGGATATCATTGTCAATTAAACCAGAAATAAATGAAATTAGAACCTTGTATCTCATCCCATTAGGCAATAGTCTTCAAACTTTTCAAACATATTTTGGTTTTAAGGACCAAATACATGTACAGTATGTAGAAGTAATGGCACTTGTGTGTCCTCTCCAGGATCGTTCCACTGAGAGGTCTGTTCGAAAGCCACGTACGTTACCTTCTCTGGAGAGTGGTGGCAGTAGTGGTGGTGCCAAGTGCGAGCTCAAGTTATATGTTGGCGGTAGTGAAACAACGCCAGCAGCAGTGCGGGAGAAAAATGTGATCCGGGCTCGCTGCATGGCCTGTCGAATGCTGGGTGAGTTGGGGTGGACATCAGGCTACTTGTCTGCAGAAGACGCATCTTAATGTGTGCTCCTTAAGATAAAATCTAGGAACCAGTTAAGAGTGTTAGGTTCACACCATGTGCCTTAAAGTAGACTGTAATCACTTTAACGTACATCCATGCAGAATCACTCCACCATTTCGTCCCAACAGTAGAACCTCCATCCATAGTTTCTAAGTTTAACATCTTCCCATATTTAATGTGCAGTTTCATTGATCACAAATTAGCAAGCTTGATATTAAATTTAGGATTTTCCTCAGGTTAATGTTAAAATTCTATGCTCCCAAAAGAAACCATAAATGAGAGTTTTATTGTAGGTTGAAAAGAGGTGCTTTTAGATTTTTTTAATGGACTGAATTTTCTGTTCTAAGGTTTGCTGTCCTGCTACATTGTGCAGCCTGCACCTGGCATTGTATATACTCCTGAGACTGAGAGTCCCGTTGACATCTATGTCAAGTTGTTGCTTACTTACCTGAACTCCAAATCAGCAATGCAGAGGATGGTGGCTGGTCTTGTCATTGTGGAATGGGCACGACTTGATGCCTTAACTTTGGAGTGCCCTGAGGCACTTAGAATACGTCTGCACCAATGTCTGTGTGAGTGTGTGTACTTTGATGAGATAGCACTGTCCTTCACGCGATTGCTACAAGAGGCGAGAGATTTCGTGGCGATGCTCAAACACTACAAGTTACCACTGGATTATGAAACTTATGGAAAGGTATGTAAAGTTACAGCATTGCCTACATGCTTAAAGTAGAATTCAGGCTGAGAACTGGGCCTGCAGTGCAAGAGAATGTTGGGGGGGGGGGG